TGGGCCAGTAAAGCCTCTTTAGGGAGGGGGCTAGCCACAGAAATAGTACTAAAATAGGTACATAACAGTTCCAGCAGAGTCTGTAATGGAGTGATCATGGGACAAAAGTTTGTGTACATAACAGAGGCTTTGCTTTTACCACAAGGCCTGTGCTAAAAGACTCCCACATTTGTTTGCATGCTCATAAAACTTTTGAGCATAGTATCTAAACATCCAATTGCAAAGTGGCAAGAGTATGTTAAGAGCACCTGGCTGTCAGGGAAAGTGATAATGGCAGGGAACAGTTCCAGGGAAGTGGGGACAGGCTAGGGATTCACAACCCTTCACAGAAGCCTCCCCTTTGGAACTGCATTCTGCCCTCTAAAGACAAGCACTGTCTGTGCATCCTTACCTGCTGTATCTCTGCATTGAACTGAACTCTAAGTATTACTCTAAGCAGTGCTCTCCTGCTGGAGTTTGTAGTTGGCATTCTCTGCTCTGAATTTACCTGCAACCAGAAAAATGTGTCTTTACTGCCGCCGCATCACGCTGCACCTACTTACAACAGCCTTGAATAGCATTCATCAAATTTTACAGATTTCACTCGATGAATGTCTGAATAAAGTACATTCTATGCCAATATCTTATTAATATAAATGTGCATTGTTACCATCAAAAAGAATTGAACTGCTGACTTACACATTTTACTCTGTCCGTATTATCAAATTAGAGTGGGGGTGAAGAAAAAGCACCAAGTAGGCATCTGTTTGAATATTGATATCGGTGTAAAATAACTTTTGATACGTAACACTTCCACTATGCTGCTGCCAACATTTTCTATCCTGGTGCCTTCATTTGCCTTTCATCACAGCTGTGCATTCAGTTAGCTGAACACAAAAAGGATAAAGTTATGTTTATATTTAGAAATAAGGAAAACATTTTATTTTACCATCAGTAATATATTTGCTTTTTTTGCCATACTTTTTTGTAACTTTTGTTCCTTATAAAAAAAAGACATGCTCTATATTTTGTATTTCAATAGTGTTTATTAGTTTTAAGCAGTATAAAACAGAGGCGACAAAACATGCCCCCACAGGGGCTATCAATTGCACCGATAAGATAAAAAACATAATAATAAAAGAAAAACAGTGCTCTAACTTCAACAAGGCAGAAGGTACGCCCACGCAGGGGCTATCAATGGCACATAGGTTACAATGATGGTAATGAAGTTCTAACTGCAATTAAAGGCAACTGTCAACTATCACCCAAAAAAACTAACAGAAATGGAAAGAAAGAAAGAGAAGAGAAATAAAGAGAGAGAAAAAGAAAAAAAAGAGAAGAGGGGGCAGAGATCCAGGAGCGCCACCATCAAACGCCAGTGCCTAACGCCAGTACATCCCCATACTAGCCAAAGGAAGCGTGGGAAAGGCATATTGCAACCATGGTTCCCATATTTTCGAGAATTTACATTGGGAGTCGTTGCATATGCTCGACATCTGCTCATTAAGCATCATATTGGTCATACGATCCCGCACCCCCTGAAAAGGGACAAACGGACTCTTCCAGGCCTGAGCAATTGTTCTGGTGGCCGACAGAAACAAATAGGATGCCAGCTTCTGCTGATGAGCAAAAAGAGACCCGGTATGGGGCAATGAAGCAAGGCATACCGAGCATCCCGGCGTATGGATAGATAAAACAACGTGAAAAGGAGGCCAAATACACGAGACCAAAAACGGACCAGTCTCGGGCATGACCACCAGATATGCAAGACATTGCCACGATGGCCACAACCCCGGAAACATCGATCACTACAAGCGGGATTAGCCTGGGCCAAACAAGCCGGAACCCAATACCAACGAAACAATACCTTATAGGCTGCCTCCAGCGTGGTGGTATTGAATGAGCATTTAGCTATGAGTGACCAGGCCCTATTCCAGTCCTCCGGATCCACATCCACCCCCAGGTCACGCTCCCACTGAACAACATATGAAAGAGAAGTATGCGACGGGCGTCTGTTCAAGGCTGCATAAAGAAGGGAGATAAGGCCTGGGGCGCCCGGCGCTGCTGACAAAGCTGTTCAAAGGCCGATTTCTGGTATGGAAAAGAAGAAGTGCCCCGCAGCGAGAGTAGCCAGTGCCGCAATTGAAGGTATCGAAAAAATTCCGCCGGGGGAACATCCCGGGACTCCCGAAGAAGATCCCAGGTAGGGAAGGACCGAGAAACCAAAAAGTGTCGTACCTGCGAAAACCCATGAGCCACCCACCAAGAGAACGCCCTTGGGTGATCTAAACCTTGTGGGAAAAGAGGGTGTTAACAATTGGAAGCAAAGGCAGAAAGGGTGACATCAGGCCACTGGAATAACGTACCGAGTCCCAGACTCGTAAGCCATGGAGCAACATCGGGCTCAGCGATATAGGGCGCAGGGCAGGGGGAAGCCATAGAAGCGCCGACGGTTGGATAGGGGCACAGTTAGGTAGCTCCCAGCAAGACCCAGAAAGGGACGTCAGAGGAAGCGTGCAACATAGACAGCGGGGCAATCTGGCTCGCCTGGTAATACTTAGTTACATTGGGCACCCCAAGGCCACCCTGAAGTCTATGAGCAAAGAGCGTATTTCTAGATACTCTGGGGTGCTTATTGGCCCAGATGAAACGCATAAGCTTCGCCTGAAGCAACCGAAGGAAATGAGGGGGAACCCGCACCGGGAGAGTACGAAAATAATATAACAATTTCGGCAGGACGGTCATTTTCACCGAATGAACCCGCCCTATCCAAGACAGGTGCGGAAATTGCCAGGAATGCAGAAGAGAAGATAAAGAACTAAGCAATGGGTAATAATTCACAGCAAAGGGGAGGTCATAGGTGGGGGTCAAGCGGATGCCCAAATATTTAAGAGAGGAGGAAGCCCATTTATAAGGGAAGTAGGATTGAAAGGCGTGAAACCAAATCGGAATCCAAAGTAATATTAAGAGCGACAGTCTTATCCAAGTTAATACGGAGACCCGAAATCAAAGAGAAGCGCTCAAGAACCTGTTGCAGATTAGGAAGCGTCGTCAGAGGCTTAGTAAGAGTCAAGAGGCCATCGTCCGCAAAAAGATTCAGCTTAAACTCCTGTCCCCGTATGAAACCCCCGATATATTGCAATCGGTCCGGATCGCTAAAGCCAGCGGCTCAAGCGCCAGTATAAAAAGCGCCGGGGACAAAGGGCAGCCCTGTCTCGTCCCTCGCCCAATAGGAAAGGGGTTCGAGAAATACCCAGCATATTTAACGGAGGCCGAAGGAGACGAATACAAGGCTTGAATCCAAGAAAGGATAGAATCCCCGAAACCCCAACGAGACAGCACAAACCGCAGATATTCCCAGGATAGAGAGTCAAAAGCTTTATATATGTCTAAGGACAGTAAGAATCCCGGGATTTTCCGCTGTTGCAGAAGATATATATAAGATGGACCACCTTACGAACGTTATCACCCCCCTGCCTCCCAGGGATAAACCCCACTTGGTCCCTGTGGACCAGGCTACGCAAATAGTTATTGATGCGAGAGCTAAGAATCTTGCCCAATATCTTCAGGTCTTCATTAAGAAGAGAAATGGGCCGAAAGGCTTGCGGTTCCTGTACATCCTCGTTCGTCTTAGGAATCATGGCTATATGTGCTCTAAGCGCGTCCGGGGAGGGCAAGGAGCCCTGTCGTAACTCATTGAAATAGTCAGCCAAGAAGGGCGCCAACAGGACCGAGAATTTCTTATAAATAGAGACCGGAGTAGCCATCAGGACCTGGGGCCGCGGGGACCTCAAAGATTTGATGCTTGGAGCACCAAAACCACCACCACCACCCCAAACCCCCCCAAACCCCCCCCCCCACCCCACCCCCCCCCCCCCCCCCCCCCACCCCCCCCCCCCCCCCCCCCCCCCCCCCCAACCCCCCCCCCCCCCCCCCCCCCCCCCCCCCCCCCCCCCCCCCCCCCCCCCCCCCCCCCCCCCCCCCCCCCCCCCCCCCCCCCCCCCCCCCCCCCCCCCCCCCCCCCCCCCCCCCCCCCCCCCCCCCCCCCCCCCCCCCCCCCCCCCCCCCCCCCCCCCCCCCCCCCCCCACCCCCCCCCCCCCCCCCCCCCCCCCCCCCCCCCCCCCCCCCCCCCCCCCCCCCCCCCCCCCCCCCCCCCCCCCCCCCCCCCCCCCCCCCCCCCCCCCCCCCCCCCCCCCCCCCCCCCCCCCCCCCCCCCCCCCCCCCCCCCCCCCCCCCCCCCCCCCCCCCCCCCCCCCCCCCCCCCCCCCCCCCCCCCCCCCCCCCCCCCCCCCCCCCCCCCCCCCCCCCCCCCCCCCCCCCCCCCCCCCCCCCCCCCCCCCCCCCCCCCCCCCCCCCCCCCCCCCCCCCCCCCCCCCCCCCCCCCCCCCCCCCCCCCCCCCCCCCCCCCCCCCCCCCCCCCCCCCCCCCCCCCCCCCCCCCCCCCCTCCCCCCCCCCCCCCCCCCCCCCCCCCCCCCCCCCCCCCCCCCCCCCCCCCCCCCCCCCCCCCCCCCCCCCCCCCCCCCCCCCCCCCCCCCCCCCCCCCCCCCCCCCCCCCCCCCCCCCCCCCCCCCCCCCCCCCCCCCCCCCCCCCCCCCCCCCCCCCCCCCCCCCCCCCCCCCCCCCCCCCCCCCCCCCCCCCCCCCCCCCCCCCCCCCCCCCCCCCCCCCCCCCCCCCCCCCCCCCCCCCCCCCCCCCCCCCCCCCCCCCCCCCCCCCCCCCCCCCCCCCCCCCCCCCCCCCCCCCCCCCCCCCCCCCCCCCCCCCCCCCCCCCCCCCCCCCCCCCCCCCCCCCCCCCCCCCCCCCCCCCCCCCCCCCCCCCCCCCCCCCCCCCCCCCCCCCCCCCCCCCCCCCCCCCCCCCCCCCCCCCCCCCCCCCCCCCCCCCCCCCCCCCCCCCCCCCCCCCCCCCCCCCCCCCCCCCCCCCCCCCCCCCCCCCCCCCCCCCCCCCCCCCCCCCCCCCCCCCCCCCCCCCCCCCCCCCCACCCCCCCCCCCCCCCCCCCCCCCCCCCCCTCCCCCCCCCCCCCCCCCCCCCCCCCCCCCCCCCCCCCCCCCCCCCCCCCCCCCCCCCCCCCCCCCCCCCCCCCCCCCCCCCCCCCCCCCCCCCCCCCCCCCCCCCCCCCCCCCCCCCCCCCCCCCCCCCCCCCCCCCCCCCCCCCCCCCCCCCCCCCCCCCCCCCCCCCCCCCCCCCCCCCCCCCCCCCCCCCCCCCCCCCCCCCCCCCCCCCCCCCCCCCCCCCCCCCCCCCCCCCCCCCCCCCCCCCCCCCCCCCCCCCCCCCCCCCCCCCCCCCCCCCCCGCCCCCCCCCCCCCCCCCCCCCCCCCCCCCCCCCCCCCCCCCCCCCCCCCCCCCCCCCCCCCCCCCCCCCCCCCCCCCCCCCCCCCCCCCCCCCCCCCCCCCCCCCCCCCCCCCCCCCCCCCCCCCCCCCCCCCCCCCCCCCCCCCCCCCCCCCCCCCCCCCCCCCCCCCCCCCCCCCCCCCCCCCCCCCCCCCCCCCCCCCCCCCCCCCCCCCCCCCCCCCCCCCCCCCCCCCCCCCCCCCCCCCCCCCCCCCCCCCCCCCCCCCCCCCCCCCCCCCCCCCCCCCCCCCCCCCCCCCCCCCCCCCCCCCCCCCCCCCCCCCCCCCCCCCCCCCCCCCCCCACCCCCCCCCCCCCCCCCCCCCCCCCCCCCCCCCCCCCCCCCCCCCCCCCCCCCCCCCCCCCCCCCCCCCCCCCCCCCCCCCCCCCCACCCCCCCCCCCCCCCTCCCCCCCCCCCCCCCCCCCCCCCCCCCCCCCCCCCCCCCCCCCCCCCCCCCCCCCCCCCCCCCCCCCCCCCCCCCCCCCCCCCCCCCCCCCCCCCCCCCCCCCCCCCCCCCCCCCCCCCCCCCCCCCCCCCCCCCCCCCCCCCCCCCCCCCCCCCCCCCCCCCCCCCCCCCCCCCCCCCCCCCCCCCCCCCCCCCCCCCCCCCCCCCCCCCCCCCCCCCCCCCCCCCCCCCCCCCCCCCCCCCCCCCCCCCCCCCCCCCCCCCCCCCCCCCCCCCCCCCCCCCCCCCCCCCCCCCCCCCCCCCCCCCCCCCCCCAACCCCCCCCCCCCCCCCCCCCCCCCCCCCCCCCCCCCCCCCCCCCCCCCCCCCCCCCCCCCCCCCCCCCCCCCCCCCCCCCCCCCCCCCCCCCCCCCCCCCCCCCCCCCCCCCCCCCTCCCCCCCCCCCCCCCCCGACCCCCCCCCCCCCCCCCCCCGCCCCCCCCCCCCCCCCCCCCCCACCCCCCCCCCCCCCCCCCCCCCCCCCCCCCCCATCCCCCCCCCCCCCCCCCCCCCCCCCCCCCCCCCCTCCCCCCCCCCCCTACCCCTCCCGGGTGCTCTGGAGCACTTCCCTCATGTAACACAGGCCCAGAGGGCCACCCTCCCGGATAATCCCGAAGACGAAGATCTTGAAAAAATGGCCTCTGCCTGAGCCACAGGGAAGGGATCAGGCGTAGTGTAAAGGCGCGAAAGGAAGTCCGAAAATCGGGAACCAATCTGCCGAGGATTATGAAGTACATCCACCTGTGGGAAGTCGCAGTCGGGATTGAGTTTATGGGGTTTCCCCACGGAATTGAGCTTCCTAGCACGGGCCCGGTTTATTAGCACAGGAATAAAAAAAATTTTGGTCCAACGCAGAGCCCGTACCGCCTCCGAAGAGGCAAGTAAGTCTAAATTCAAAAAAAAAGATCGTCCCGAGCGCGTTAATTGGCTGCAGACGACTTCCAGCGCGCATCCCGCAGAAGCCAGGAGAGAATGAAGCTCCAAAAGTCGGCGCTCCCGCTCCCCCGCTTCCGGACCGCCGCCAGCTGTATAACATGACCCCGCACCGTGGCCTTATGCGCCTCCCATAGGGGCACTGCCGAGGAGACCGATCCCGAGTTTTCCGTGAAGTATGTACGTAAGAAAAATTCTATTTGTTGGCAGGTAGCCTGAGTGGTCAATAAAGAATCGTTGATGCGCCAATGAAAAGGGCGCCGTTCTGACCCAGAGAGGGCAAGGAGAAGTAGCAAGGGATCGTGATCCGACCAAGGTGAGGAGGGAATAGTTATCCGCCTGACCAAGGGAAGCTGCTGAACCGGCATAAATATATGATCAATTCTACAAAAACTATCATGAGGACTGGAATAAAATGTAAAATCGCGTTCAGTTGAGGGTGAAGCTCCCTCCAGACGTCCGCTAGCCCCGCTGTCCGCAAAAGAGAGCGCATACGTTCCTCCAGCACCAAGTCATGGGAAGGGGCCGCCCCCCGTGCACAGCGCCTATCCAACGTGGAATCCAAAGTAACATTTGAATCCCCCAAAACAAGAATGAGACCCTTGGAGTGTCAGGAAACAATGGTGCAAAGATGCGAAAAGAATTTATCCTGAAAACGATTGGGTGCGTAGTAAGAGACAAAAGTAACCTCCTGGTCCCAGAGAGTGCCCTCCAAAAGCAAATACCTGCCCGTGGGGTCCGCTATATTCCGAGCACAGACAAAGGGAAGATTGCGTTTAAAAGCTATCAGTACACCCCGACGCTTCTCAGGAGCCGAGGCCGTGTAAAAGGTGGGATAGTGAGGTGAAAGATAACGCGGAGCGGAGGACTGCGAAAACCTGGTCTCTTGTAAACATACCACGTCAATTTGTTGCGATTTAAGGTGATGAAAGACTTTAGCCCGCTTCTGAGGCGAATTGAAGCCTTGAACATTCTGCGAGTGTATTTTCAAAAGGGGCGAGGCCATGGCGATATCAACGCAACACGCACGGCAGAAAAACCCATAAAGCAGCTAGCAAGTTCCGCTTCCAATAGCGAGCGGACCGTGGCGTCCTGGAACCCTGCAGAAAACAAAAACAAAAAAAAAACCAAAGGAGAAAAAAGACAAAGAAAGAAAAAAAAGGAAAAAGACACAAAAAGTATATACAATAGTGCAATTGTGTCACGCCAATGGTGACGCGCATCCTACAAAAGGAAGGATACCAGTTAGGGGTGGCTCTACCACCGGACACATGGCTGCAAATGAAAACATCAGAAACTAAAGCCCCCAGGGGGCAAAAGGGCAATAAGGCAACAAACATAATCGAACGGGTCCGAAGCTATAAAACTAAGGGTCCCAGGAGCGAGGCCTCCATGATGACCTCCCATAAAAACCCAAAGAACCTTGGGGCCAACCCCCTCCCACCCAGCCGGGCCCGCCAGATCAACCTCCCACCCCGAAGCCCGAGGGAACCCTCACCCCATGCTACCAACGGAAACCAAAATACCCTCACCCAGCCCAAGATAGGTTGCGGCAGCGGAAAGTCATAAGTCTTGAGTCCGCGAGGGGACCCCCTCCCACCCAACCAGGGAAGGAACCCAAGGGGGTAAACCAGATCAGTCCCAACCCGGAATGCTGACAAACCGGGGGAGCCCCAAGGGCCAAACTCACGGTCCCGCCAGAGAAGTCCATCGCTGAGATGACACACGGGAAGTCCAAGACACATCCTCAGCCCGGAGAAGAACAAGAAGGACTTGATCGCGAAGGGGTCTGGGGGAGAGCCCTCTTCCTATCGGACGACCGCTCCCAGGTGCGGCCCGGAGGAAGCGGCCGTGCCGGAGATCCTGATGAATGAGCCGGGCTCCGATCCGCAGAATCAGGCGAAAGAAGGCGCAAGGACTCCAGCAGAGAATGGGCCTCCTCCGGCGTAGCCACAGAGTGACTGCGGCCCTGGTAGGTGAAGGTGAGGCGAAACGGGAAGCCCCAGGCGTATTTAATACGGTGTTTCACCAGGACCGAAGTGAAGGGCTTCAACTGGCGGCGCTTCTGAAGAGTGGTCTGGGAGAGGTCCGCAAAGAGCTGGTAGTGATGCCCCTGGAAGCTGAGGTCAGGGTTGTTCCTAGCCGCCGCCAAGAGGATAGTTTCCTTAGTGCGGTAATACGTAAACTTGATGATAATGTCCCTGGGGGGCCCCTCCGGTCGTCTGAGGCCCAATGCACGATGTATGCGGTCAAATTCAAGCCGGTCTATGGGAATAGTGGGTGTCAGCTCCTGGAACAGAGCAGTAGCAGTAGAAGTAAGATCTGCGACCGTTTCCGGGATACCCCTTAACCGCAGATTGCCACGGCGGGAACGGTTTTCGAAATCCTCAAGCCATAGTAGCGTGTCCGCCAAATCTTTCTTGAGGTCGCACAGATCCTGTTCGTGATTTTCCATGACCGTGACTGCCGCGTCCATCTTATCTTCAAGGTCGTTCGTCCGATTGCCCAACTCCCGAATTTCCCGTGAAAGACGATCGGCCAGCTTGGAGGTAGCGGAGGACAACTCGGACTGCAACATGCACTTAAAGCGGCGTAGGAGCTCAGCATCCCGCAGGGATGGGATCGGAGACTGCAGGGATGGCTCTGGTGCCAGGTCCTCCCCACTGCCAGGGTCCTCCCCACCCAGGGATGGTGACAGCAAGGGACCCAAAATTGCGTCTGGGGCTCTATCTGAGGTCCCCGGCGGGAGCCGCGAATCTGCGGCCGGGGTCTTGGAAGTGTCTGGCGGCCGGCCAAAAATCGAGGCCGCGGCTTCAGCCGCGATCTCCGGCGGGTAGGCCGCAAACTCCGGAGCGGCCCGCCGGGAGCTGGAGGCACGGACGGGCCGGCGTTTTTTTGCCCATCAGGGCACCAGGGAGACAGGGGGCCAGAGAGGAGACAGGGGGACCCCCCCTGGAGGGCGAAGATCGGCCGATGTGTCCGGCGGCCGAGGTGGGATTTTAAAAAGCAGCCATCCTGGTTGCTGCTCACGAGCGCCCCCCGACATGCTCTATATTTTAACATAAAATAATGATCATGTACACAGCAGGTATAAATTCACTTGGAAGCACTTACAAATATTCATGGCACAATTACTTCTTACTAACTTACTAGTGGCAAAAATACAGAAACTCCTTCACAGCATGCCGCTGGGCCATATATATACTTATATATATATATATATATACATACTTATATATATATATATATATATATATATATATATATATATATATATAATAAGTCTTGGCCAATTTGTAGACATTTTGCCAAGGCACCCCTGAAGAAAACTCAAGGCTGCTCTAGAGCAGTGTAGAGGTGTTCTCTGGAATGATGAATCACACTTCTCTGTCTGGCAATCCAATGGACATGTCTGGGTTTGAAGGTTGCCAGGAGAACGGTTCTTGCTTGACTGCATTGTGCCAAGTGTAAAGTTTAGTGGAGGGGGATTATGGTGTGGGGTTGTTTTTCAGGGGTTGGCCTTGGTCCCTTAGTTCCAGTGAAGGAAACTCTTAAGGCATCAGTATTCCAAGACAATTTCATGCTCCCAACTTTTTGGGAACAGTTTGGGGATGGCCCCTTTCTGTTCCAATATGACTGCGCACCAGTGCACAAAGCAAGGTCCATAAAGATATGGATGAGTGAGTTTGTGGTAGAGGAACTTGACTGACCTTTCCCAGGGTCCTGACCTCAACCCATTAGAACATCTTTGAGATGAATTTGAGCAGAGACTGCGAGCCAGGCCTTCTCGTTAGCAGCCAGCAGTCATTCCTGTGAACATTCAGCGCATGGAACGCCTGATCCTGGATAATTGACACATAACCTGTTATGAAATTGGATCCCTAAAAGAGTTCCTCAAGCGTCAGCATTTCAACACTGCTGACAAAGTGAAGTAGGCTGTCCTGGATGGTTCAGGCATACTGACAAATCTTTCTATGCCAAAGCTTTCCAGACATTGGGTAAACGCTGGGATAAGTGTATAACTGTAGCAGGGGAGTATATATATATATATATATATATATATATATATATATATATATATACTGCAAAAAACAGTGAACACAACCAGATAAAATAAATCAATTGTATTGAGACTTCCAGAGCTTAAAGTAGACTTTACTCTAAAAGGCAAGATTTGCTAACTAGATGGGGGCATTCTTCCCTCTTCCGTATAACAGTAGTACATAAATATACCCATGGACACAAAAATTTGAATATATAGGCTTACAGTATATATACTGCATATTTTGCCAGGAGGATAGTGACATCATCCTCTGCAGTGTGGTAGACAGTGATTAGGTAAGTATGTATTATAACTTTTATTATACATTTTGGTACTACTATTATACATATGATTTAGAAAGGGGTTGGCCCCCTGATCTAGTAAGTAAACTTTGCATGAGTGGTCACTTATAAATTTAGATTTCTTACAGATGTAATAATAATAATATTTTTTTTAAATCTTACCAAGTTCCCTTTCATGCAAAAGCACAGAACAATTAAACGTAAATTCTTCTTCAAGATAATTTTCATTATAGTTTTGCCTAGCTTCTCAGGAGGTACTGAAGATACAATCTTTTGTCTGGCAGAATTTAATACATGGTTTCAAGTACAATTTATACAACTGACCCATTTGATTAAAGAGGTATTTCAAATTTAAGAATGTAATATATATGT